AACAATCTCTTCCTTTCTCTTTTTTGTGCCGACACCCATTAGGAAAGAAATAAAAACAGAACAAAAGGAAAAAAGGAAAGCAAATAGGAAAGCAAATAACAACAAATAAAAGAAAATCTACAATTAATAATGGCTAGGAATAGTCATTATTTTAATATTCTTATGCATTCTAATGTGTGAGAGATGATAGTACGCTAGATTTTGATTAATGAGAAACCATTCGTACTTGTGGTGAAATTTGAATTTAATCTAACTATACAGTCCATGCTGCCATATTATTTGAAATATTCAAGAGCTATAGCGCCTAATGATGTAATGTTAATAGATGAAATGGAGAAATAAAAATAAAGAATACACTAAAAAGTATAATAGAATCAAATTTACCATGGATTTATAAAAATCAAAGAATAAAAAAAATTTCAGACATGTTAGTTACTAATATTCTATGTGTATATGAATTGGATGTGCAAAAATGTGTAATTAGTTTTTATATTAAAAAAAAGCCCATAGTGACTGGGGACTCGAGGATAAAGTTTTATTATATTAGTGAACAATGCTTCAAATAAGCAAACCTAGATTGAACACAAGTCTGGGACTAAAATGACCCGTTTCCCCACAAATAGTTAGGGGATCATTTTGGTTCTTTTCTCTTTTTTATAATATAATATTGAGTAATTATTGGGCAGAAAAACTTTGCACTTTCCTTTATCAGTGCACAGATATGTGTAAGATAAGTCAATTTTTTCAAATAACCAATAATGTAGAACTAATGCTTTGTTATATTCAAACCAAAAGTATAGAGAATAAATATGTGACAACTTCCAGCTTTAACCCAAAACACAATAATTATTTCATCATTAACGTATTCATTATACAGTAGTAAAAAAGGCATCCAAATTAATGTAGACAAAACCCATTCTAGAGAAACACTGTGTACCTTTATTCATAGAATTTGGCTCAACGCATCTCTTTCTCAACCAAATGGCAAGTGCAAATAAGATGAGGCAAAATACAAAGGTTGATACTCCAATGACAATTTTAATAGCCTTCCTTAAACCAGTAGGGTCTTGTGGAGGAACAAAATCTGAATTATTTCATTAAAAAGAGAAAAGAAACAGACGTTACAAAACTGTTTATATAAAAAGATTACAACGAAAGCTAAAGAATGATAATGCAGCCAGAAAATCAAATCTAAGTTTAAATGAAGTTTATCCGCATTCAGATAAAAACTGTACTCTGCAGACTACAGTGCATTTCGTCTCATTGGTAACTATTCAGAAAGTTTGATTACAAAAGAAATCATAAAGATTTCACTTAAAATAGGTAAGGACAAGAGTTTAAAGTCTACAAAACTACAAGTTGATAAACAAATTTGCTTGTTGCATAGTTAAATTTTGTTTCTAAATAATTTGTTATAATTTCCATATAAGTTTTCATCTTGAAGTTTGGATTTTTTTTATGGTTATCAGTAATTGCTTAGATTTAGTTGAACGTGCCTAAGCTTGAGTTTGCCAGAATGCAAAATCTTTTGTTTTAATAGAACGTACCATACCTTCTACTAAAACATATGCTATGTTCTAACGCAATGTACAATGAAAATTCACAACTTATATGTAGAAATATGAATAACATTTGTTTCCTCATGTGAAATCCAATTTAAAGCATGCTGGATCTAATAATGAATAACATTAAAACTACATACCTTATACTAAATCATATGAAAGTTCCTGCAACTAATATGGAAACTTGCGAAGCTTTTTCCTCAGGTTCAATTTAATCAAACACGAGTTGGATCTAATACTGGCAAATATATTGAAACTCAAAATCTCATAAAACTCATTTGCAATTTGACTCTCTGCAATTTCAAACTCAAATCCACACAACATTGTTTCAAATTTGCTCGAATTAGCTTGAATATAGTACAAATAAACTCAAAATGCAACTTAAGAAGAGTATAAGTTATATTATATGTAATGTACTAATAACTTTCTATATATACACATACAAAATTAATTTAAATTTTATTTTGAACTGAACTCAGAATCAAATCGCTTTGATTCAAGTAAGGTTCCACTCAAATTGTTTTTTATCTCAAGGAAAATTGGAGTAAAGCTGGATCAAACATTTAGATTTTGAGTTGAGCCAAACTTGCTTGAACCTAACTTTATCAACTAATTGCAAGGCATGGTCAAGCTAAAACTGTACCTTATCCCAATGTTGTGCCCATTTAGATTTTAGTAGTATCTCGGGATACTTTAGTACATAAAAAGTTTCTTTAAAGTTTTTATATGAACCCAATGTCAAACAACTACTTTCAAGCTTAAATCTGATTTTCTCGTGGATATAATCCAATTGTTGGATTAATTTAGATTCAGTTCAGTGATGTAAATATGTCTCAAAATTAAGTATCACTTAAAAATTGAAAATCTTTGGCTTGGATTGAACTTGAACATTAAGTCATGACTATATTCAATCAAACAAATTCATGCTCAAATAAACATTTTTATGTATGCTTGCATGTATAAGTACAATTAATTAATTAATTTGTAACAAACACTAATAATAAAAGTTTTATGTAAATATTCATATATAAAATTAATTCAATTGTAGTAATTATATGCTGCATTTTATTATACTTCTCAAAATTGAAATTTTAAGATAAGTTTAAAAATTAGGAAACTTGTTGAAATTATTGAATGAAATTAAAAAAAAATAATATAATTATTATGATAATTTTTTATAATTTCAAAATAAAATTGAAACTAAACTTTGAATTAAAAAATTGAGTATTTATTAAATTAAAGCTTGCAAGTGTTTATAAAAATTTGCATATCCGAGTGAAAGAAAAACATGAGTAAATAATAAAAAATATACTAATAAAATAAATATGGATTAAATAAAAAACTATAACATGAAAGTAACAATAAAAATAAATTAATATGATTTATTACAAAAATTATAATATTAATAGGCTAATTAAATTAATATGTTAAAGAAGGATTACAATCATTAATTATTTAATTAAATAAAATAAAATAATAATTAAATGATGCAATTAAAATCTATTAATATGAAAATTTTCTATATTATTATTGGCATCAAACTAAAAGAAATTAAAAAAAACAAAAGCAAGTTATCTATTATTGAGATGGATACTCTTATTTCTAAATAATTTTAATAATTTTTGTTTCATCTAAAACAAGTGCATTATCAGATATTAATATATGTTTAAATAAATATTTACAGTAGTTTAAATTATGATTTATATGTATTATTTAAACTATTTGTCATATTAAAATAAACATTCCAAGTTCATTACTATGTTTAAGATATTTACTCCATGCACAACTTATGATATCAAAAGGTATTAAATGATGTGAAATAAAATTAACTGTATCAAAATGTTTGCTTGTGTATGTTGATTGATGGAGTCCACCTCTTACAATATTAACTAGAGACACTAAATTGCTCCTGTACATAAAATGATAATAATAATGATGCGAGGCTTGGCTTGGATGAACCGCCCCAACCGGTTCAACAGGGGGTCTCAGTCCAACAAGGGACTGGACCGGCCGGTTATTTCTGCCCCCAACGCCCTATATTTTAGGGTTCAATATTTTTTTTGGGACAGGTGATGCTCCGACTATATCCTGCTCCGAGGTTGTGATGGCCTCTACTTAACCCCACGCCTATTCCTTTCTCCTGCTCATTGCTTTCATTTTTACGCCCAACTTTCCCTATTTATGCAACCGCCAACCCACCTCCACCTTCATTTGATGTCGCCCGCTACCTGCAACTCCTCCTGCTGACATCGAACCTCTCCTATACCCCCCTTAGCTATCATCAGCCTTTTTTCCTGCAACTCCACTTGTTGTCGTCAACCTCCAGCATCCAGCCCTGCTACTGCCCCAACCTTCCTACACCTCCACCTGAATACATCAACCTTCCTCTTCACCGCAACCAGTTGTTATCACCCCTTCGAACCACCTTACCTCTTGCCGCAAACCCCAATACCATCACCCTCCCACTGTCCAACCGACTTCACCATCTCCATCTTGACCCGAGGGATTCGTTTGTGCTTGTTTTTTTTATTTCTTGTTTTAAAGAAGCTTGTTGTGTTTCCTTTTGAAATTTCAACAATAATACTTGTCTTTTGTTGTTCTTCGGGTCAACTTTGGTATCAAATAAGAAACGAAATTATTATTAAAGTACACTAAACTATTTCAAAATCTTTTACATAATCATCTTTGAATAAAGGAATGATCAAATGACCTTATATTATTTTTTTGAATCTAACAAGTATACATTTTATTTTCTTAATTTTTTTTATGTTACTATAATTTAGAAGCATGAATTATTCATTGATTTGTTAATAACTCACAACAATTTAAAACAAAATTTTCAGAATAAAGGCTTATGCTAAAATTAGTGAATAAAGAGAACATACTTATCCAAGATGCAACCAAACAAGAGAATAATGTTTACGTTAAAATTTGATTTACTTCTACTTAGTTTTAGTTTTGTACTTTAGCATCTCTTTCAATTTATTGAATAGTTATTTAGAAATTATTATTAACTTTTTCAGACAATTGCCTTTTCCTATCTTGATAAATCTAACTCTTAGATCAAATCATGATACTAAAAAGTTAAAATTTAAGGACTTCTTACAAATTGTGATTTAAATTTAGAAAATGACCATAAAACGAAGAATCAATTTTTATGTAAGATAAAATTTAAATATAATACTTGCAATATGATCCACATCAAAACCTAACTTAGAGTTTGCTACAAAATCTATTCATGCACTTAAACTTGAAATTTAGCAAGATTCAAAACTTAAATCTGAATCTGAATTTGAATATGATAATGCAACCTAAAATTATATTATGAATTAAATCTAATCATCATAACTTCTAAAAGGAATAAATTATTTCCTAATATAACTTCTAACACTAACTATAAAATTGAATATAAACATATCATGCCTACTAAAGTTGTTAAACCAATTAAATATATTTTGACTATTACGTGTACTAATGCTTAAATAAAAAAATTTTGTTAATGTTATTGAAAAAAATCTAGCACTCGTAAGGTTAAGGTGTTTCACTACACAATAAAGGGTTTTAGTGACTTCAAATTAACTCTAAAATGTATCTTAACCACATATAAACTGACAATGATTAGCTTACGACTGTCATCTTTGACATTTATTCGAGGTGAATCCTGAAATCAAGCAAACTATTATTAGTAGTATTATAAGAATGTTATCTTTAAAAGAGCATTGAAAATGATGAACTCCAACCCAAAAATTATCCATAGCCAATAAAGTTGTTAGAGCAAAAAATACACAATACATTTACACATGAAACTCATAACTTTTTTGGACTAAATATGACTTCATACGTGTGTCTAATATTAAGTATGGGGTTTAAACTTTTAATAATTAAAAATATTTGCTCGCTTCAATAACATCAATGTACTAAATGAAGGCTACCAAAATATTTTATAATATAGGCTACAAAATTCTTCAATGACAGCTGATTATTAATGTTGAAGAGTGAACCTTTCACTATATAAACTCATGCAATTCTCACTTATAAAACATCTCATAATTATAATCAAACAAAATGAAAAAAATTAAAAGAGAAGAAAAGAGATAAAAATTTCGTGATAGATAAAAGAAGAGAAGGACAAACATCATCAATATTTTTTCTTCACATTCAACCCTCATTTTCATAATATGTGGTCATAATACTTCTCAGTGGTTAACAAATATAAAATAATATCATCATCTTTATCCATATGAAGTGAAATCTCTTTTTAAGCATCTTTTTTTAAGTTTAGTTCAATATTCGATCTCTATGTGACCGTAAATGCAGGTGAATCTCTCCGAACCATATAAATTTATGACTTATATTTCAGATTTTTGGTTTGATAATTCTCTCATCCACATCCAGTTTATTGATTGAATTTTTATCACTATCTTAATAACTACTATCAAAGCTTTAGGATCTGTTTAGGACAAGTTTTTCCTAGTTTGCATTTCAGACTGTCACCACAATTCCATTTGAGAAATTGTTTTCTATAATTTTTATGGTGAGAAGTTGTTTTTTTTTTTCAAACTAACATGTTAAAGTGTGGTGGTTGTAAGAAAGTTTCTGTCTGATTTTTTAGAAAAAATTATATATTTATAATTCCCAACGCAGCTTTCTAAAAAGTTATTTTCTCCACCACAGCTTTACAGTTATATTTTTTTAAAAATTGTGGCCGCCATACACTTGGTCTAAGAAACATTCAGTGTAAACATAGAGGATGGGAAGATCACAATCCATAAATTTGATAGTAAATTTTGGTTCTAGAAAATGCTGGTAGAAGATTATCCGTATAAAGTAAAACTCCACCAACCACTAAAGGGAGTACAGCCTCAGTTAGTTGATCCAAAAAGAGTGAAAGTTAAAATAGAGCTCTAAGGGTAATTTGTCTATCACTTGATGAAAAGTTCTCTAAAGCCCATAAGATACATATGATACATAAATTTTAAATTTTATTAATGAGTTCAACATAATCAAAAGGACCAGTTGAACCCTGTGAATATCAAGTTTAACGATGATATTCATGCCTTCAGCTTGCTCTTATCATTATCTAAGATCTAAGATACATCATATTAGCCATCGTTAGTTCATATAAATCATCTGCAATGAAGCTCTCTAACATTAGGGATCTTATCTAGTTCGTCACCTTCTATTTTAAATATTAATAACATTATTAAATCTCATAATGTTGATAACAACAAATGGAAAAGAAGGTTAAAATCTCATATCAAGAACTTTCAATCGAATCACAAGAAAGACAAGTCTCAACATCGCTAAAGTGGATGATTACCTCATGGAAAATAAAGCCATATGATAAAAAAATGCAAAAAAAAAAAAAAAAAAAAAACACACACACACACACACAAAGAAAGACAAGAACAAGGGCAAGGGTCAAGCGGAATGTCATTGTGAACGACATTTGGGAAGTACTAATACTTCAACACAGTTAGTCCAATTGAGACATGGATATTAGAGAAATGTATTTTCATTCTTCTTCTAATAATAATCTAATGACATTATTTTTCAAGTAATTATGAAAAATATTCCTTGTTAACGACAAGTCCTTAAATATTATGATTATTGGAGATGTGATAATCAAGACAACAAGTTGTAGCACTTGCATGTTGTATCCCTATCTTAAGGAGAAACTTGATCTCCACCGGGTGGCTACCTGAGGCAAGAAGTCATGGCACTTCAAATAATATACTTGAAAACTTACAAAAGAAGTCTTAGTGAGTGCTCAAGGCAATGGGAAAAACAAACTTCACACCACCACTAACACTGAAATTATAGGGTTTGTTCCTAATGTAAAGACATTCAAATTTACGGCATCGAGACTAGGTCTTATATGTGAAAATAGCCCAAAGACTCTCCCCTCTAGATATAAAATTTCAAGTTTAAAATCTATTAAATCCATCTGTTGTGCAGATTGTGCTCTAGGAAAATAAAAGATCGTTAGTTTTCCAAGAATCAGATAGCGAAAGTGCTACAATAAAATCATACAACTAAAGGTTTGTCAAGTGGGACCTCGATAAAAAATGAGATGAATTTATTTAAAAGAATAGCACCTAAACACTAACTAAACTACCTAAATAACAAGAAAAAGTTGCAAAAAAATGGATATACGCAGTGAAAAAAAAGCATACAAAAATTAAAAGGTGTATAGAAATATGAAAAAAATATATATAGACTTTACAATGGTGTTCTCTTGCATAGTTAAACTAGCCGCTATATGTCTAGTGTAGAGTATCATAACAATAAAAAATCTATACTTCGAACAAATGGACGTCAAGACATCTTTTCTTAATGACGTTTTGGAGAATGACATCTACATAATACAACTAGAATGTTTTATCAAACCTAGAAAAAAAAGCCTTATCTATAAATTAAATAAAAACTTTTATACCTATAGCATCTATCTTAACACACACACACACACACATAGCATCTAATGTGTTTTATGGCATATGATAGTTACATTTGCTTGATTAAACCAAGTGACATGACCCAAATGTTGCCCACTTCAGAATATATGTCAAGATTTGTTCAAGTTCTACGATCAAAAATATTTTACCTATTGAGCATCTAGCTTTCAAAACGTGATGGAGGCTTAGCTCTTGGGTTCAATTGGCAACATCGTAAGGTGAACCCCAAAGATGTAAATAGTTTGACATTGATAGAAAGCATTCATAATAATGTTCAAAGAGCTCTAGCTTTACTATAGCTGGTGCCTATGTGCTGATAGCAAAATCATGAATAAAATTAACAGCTAATGTAAGTGATATCTAGTCTTGCTGGCGTGGGGTGTGGCTTAATTGATCTTTTTGGAAAAAATATAGTTAGTTTCCGCATGCTTTTGCTTGCTTGACTTCTACTTCCATATGCATCATTAAGAAAATCATATGGTTTGATTCAATTTAGATTATTTTCTTCATTTTTTTGCATGTTACTGAGTTACTTGGGCTGTTGGGCTTACTTTGGAATTAAGAATTTCTTTTTAAGAACATGTTTTTATGAGTAAATAAAAAAAAAATTCAGGCTAAAAGTATTTTCATGCATACTAGGTGTCACTGAAATAGCTGATATGAGCGGCCCGTAAACGCCTCTTTTTGGGATGCCTTGTGTGCCCCTTCCGGCCCAATAAAATTGGATCTTCAAAGTGTGATCTATGACAGAGGCATTGAAGGACATTTTAATTGCCTTCTCAGACCCACCGGCGGCCTTTTGAATATCGAATTCTTCCAACACCATTTTGTCCTGTAATGAAAATGAGAAAAAATAAATGAAGGGTTCTCATAAACTTATGAAGATTTTAAAACTTGATTTCACCTGCCTGTATAAAGACATTAAATAAACGCTTCCCGAGGGTATTAAAAGTGTTATCTTCTCGGAAAATTGTTTCTGCAAAATGAAGTTCTACGGTGTACTGGCCAGTGAACATGCAAAGTCCATAGTAAGTTAAAGAAAGAGGGGATAGTCGTGCTTCTGTGTAAAGCTCTGCATTTTGCATGGTTAGTACTGATGTGTTTCTGGTAATGTAGTTGTCAGCAACCTCATCATCATCCATGAAGTTGCCGGTACTGCTCAATGCCCAGTTTTTACCAAAATATAACATTGAAGCACCTCCTTCCTCATTATCAGCTTGATATGTTATCCCATTGATAACTTTTTCACTTCCTCCACAATTTATGTGCAATGAGGATTTATCTGTATAGAAATGACTGGCACTATAAAGGAAAGATAAAGCAATTTAACATGCAAAGTGGTACAAGCTTGTTTTAACCAATGAATGAAGAATTCTACCAGAAAGGAAGTACAATCTTACTTGCATGAAATTAAAATTTCCTTTCTGTAGACAATAAAAGATCATTATTACTCTTAGGACTGTAAATGAGCAGAGCCTGCACGAGCCCAATGTTTGTTCATATTCAGTTCATTTGATTTTTCTTAAGCTCAAAATAGGTTCATGTTTGAAATAGCGCGTGAATAATTTGTTCGTATTTGACTTAATTTGAATTCATTTGTTAATTTTAACTTGTGTTCAGCTTGAAATCATAATTTATTAAAATTTAATTAATCAAAATAACTTTATTGAATTTTGAAAATTATTATTTTTTATTTAAAAATACATCCAAAGGAGGAAAAATACAATAAATCCCCTAATTTTACAGCCGCATGAAACAAAGTTCTCAAACTCATGCGCTTCGTTTACACATTTAAACAATATTTGTAAAGCGCTTCTTACCGATGTGATACTAAATGCAGAAAACATAATGGGTGGACCAGGCGGGATTTTTATTGAAGATTTTATACATACCACCCAATTCTTATGTATTTACATATCTAACACCCAAAGATGAGACGAGACAGGTGGGTGCAGGAATTTTTCCAAGGGGCATACACATACATACCACAATTCTTATGTATTTATATATCCAACACCTAAATGCAGAAAACAAGAGCAGGGCAGGAGAGGCGGGAAATTTTCCAAGGGACATTTACATGCATAACCCCTAATTATTATGCATTTACATATCAATACCTAAATGCAGCAAACGTAGGCAGGAAGGCGGGCCAGAATTTTCCAATAGGCCTTTACATGCATACCACCCAATTCTTATGTATTTACGTATCTAACACCTAAATATGCAGAAAACACACTGGGCGGGGCAGGTGGAGCGGGATTTTTATTGAAAAATTTCTAGGGGCGTTTTGCATAAATACCACCCAATTCTTATATATTATGTATTTACATATCTAACACCTAAATATGCAGAAAACACACTGGGCGGGGCAGGTGGAGCGGGATTTTTATTGAAAAAATTCTAGGGGTGTTTTGCATAAATACCACCCAATTCTTATATATTTATATATCTAAGACCTAAATTTTGTTTTTTTTTTACATTTATACAAACCAAATCTTTGGTATAATATCAAAGATACCATTATTTTAACTTTTACAAATCAAACAAAAGTTTATTTGTGTTCAACTCGTTTATAAATCGAGCTCAAAAAATTTGTTTATGTTTGGCTTATTTAATTGCCGAATGAATCGAACACAAGTTGTTCACAAACGACGAGCTCTTTTAAACACTTACTCTTAATATAATTCATATTTATTCATAAAAAACATTAACGAAACTAGTAAGATGACATCTACACAAAGAACAAACTCTGTTGAAACCAATATTATATATATATATATGACAATTTCTGAGCAGCTATTAACTTAAAAGGAATGATTCGAGTTACTCACATGTTTGAGCATCGCAAGGAAAGTTACTCCTCAGGCATGGATTAATGCTAGTCCTAAACCAAAAAAATATATGAAAATAACATAAAAAGTATCTTTACAAGGTGAGTTCTATTAGCAGAAAATGTGTTTTTTTCCATATTATTGGATGACACATACTTGTTGTCCAATTCTGCACCACAGCTCTCCACCATGTTACTGAAAAGAAAAAAAGGGTAACATTTGAAGGAAAAGGATGCATATCCTAACTACAATTTGTGCCAAATAAAAGATTCTCACATGCTCCCTCCATTTGAACACTCAGTTGGTCCAGATTTGCCAACTGAGAAGTTATTGCGAGAGATGTCCCTGAAGTATAAAGCCGAAGTCAGCAGACCGCAAAGCTCAATTCTAATAAAACGCATTATTTATTGTCTAGAAACTTTTATTGTATTTGAAACATAAAACAAAACCACTAATTTGGGGCATTTACATACGTACCACTCAATTCCTGTGTATTTACATATCCAACACTTACTCTTTACTTTTTATAGTAATACCACCCAAATCTTTCATATCACATCAAAAATACCATCATTTTAACTTTTAAAAAGTGAAATATATATTTTTATGCATAGGTAAGGTGGTAGGTATGTAAAATTGAATTTTAGGTGTCAGATATGTGAATTCATAAGAATTGACAATACCAAACGTATGTTAAAAACAATCTACTTTATATGGAATGGGAAGCTCACTCTTCTACCAAACGTATGTTAAAAACAATCTACTTTGATCTCTAACCAAATCTATACAATATATGCTAAATACTGCAATACAACAACAAAATTATGCCAATACCACAATGAAGCACTAAAAAGTAAGTTTCCTTCAACTTGTAAATTTGATGCTTTCCGAGTTGAAAAATTTTAACACCGTAACGAATGAAATACGTACAAGTTCTTGCCTCTCCTGCTCAAGATCCAGTCAGGTATCGTCCCTGTGAGAGTGTTTCCAGTCAAATACCTAAAAAAAAGGTTTTTAAAGGGTATTTAAAATCTTAGTGCAACTTGTGAAGTTGAATCTTTGACTGATAAAGAAAAAATAGATGGGAGTAGAATGACTAGAACAAAGAACGAATACATGATGATATGTACATTTCATGGAATTGGACGTGTAATTATGGTTAACAATCAACATTAATGGAAGGTAAAGTTACGTAGATGCTGGGGTACAAGTTTCTCGGATCAACAACATAAAAAATAAGGATCACAATGAGAACATGGCAGTAAATAACACTGGATGGCTAAAATAATGAAATGCCTTTAACTCCCCGCCGTTTCCATGTTAGATTTGGAGTTGAGGCAGGTCATGAGAGTGGTCATCTTTACAAAAAAATTTAAGATATTACAATCATGGTGTGCGAAAATTTGGAGCAATACGAGTCTTGCTATTCTTGCCAGGTACTAAGACTTGCTTGAAAATGTCCCAGTAAGATCAGATCATTGTCACCAGAAAGCTCTAAACTTACATAAAATCAATTTTTTTCAGATTGACAAATGTGCTTGGAATTTCTCCAGTCAATTTGTTAAAGCTGAGGTCCCTGCAAGAAGAATGAACGCCAACTTTAGGAACTTTAATGGACATGGCAGTGAAGAAAAAAACTAGAGGACACCAAAAATGAACAAGAGCTTCCAAAAATGTATCTGCGTCAAATTGTTGCTTAGTTAAATTATAATTGCAATAATGTCCAAGTTACGAGAACCAAACTTATAAATCATAAAAATCTGTCGAGTTCAAGCCTTTTAATGACCTCTGGTGGAAAACTAGCTTTTACTGATATGCATGCTGCATAAGTATGCATAAGCATATCAATTGGCCTTCATATGATGTATGATGTCCTTATATGGACGGTGTGCAGCCTGTGTTGCCTACCATTTAGATAATAATTGCTATGATAGTAGAAGCTAAAGAACCTTCCCGTAGAGTTTTTGCGTTGGAGCAACAGGAAGAGGAAAACCAGAAAACTAGAGAAAGGAAAATGGAGAAGCAAGAAGGTAAAGTAGAACTTGCAAATATTTCCTCCTTAGTGTTAACTTTTAGGTACGGATATTTATAATGCTAGACGAAGTGTCAAGAAGATATATAAAATAATACAAAAGGTAATGATGTGTTTGTAAGAGGAAGGTGATTGAGATATGCTGCTGTTTTTTTGCAAGGTGAGTGAAATATGTTGTTGTCCTTTTCCTAGGTGAGTAGAGAGCCATCCTTTATGATCCCCCCTCAAGTTGATGCTCGGATCTGTCAAAGTGTCAGCTTGTCTCAAAGTAGATTGAGGCGAGGTGTTGGAAGCGATTTGGTGAAGATGTCAGCGACTTGATTTGAGGTTGAAAGATATTGGATGTCAATCTCCTTGGACATGAGTTTCTCGCGAACAAATTTGTAATCGATTTCGATATGCTTGGTGCCAGCATGAAACACCAGATTGTGTGCTATGGCTTGAGCGGATGTATTGTCACAGTGTATGATTGTGGGAGGTGGTGTGGTGATTTGAAAGTCTTAGAGAAGTCGACGAAGCTAGATGACATCTGTGGTGGTTGTTGAGAGAGCACGATATTCAGCTTTAGCAGAGGAGCGTCCAACATTTGGTTGTTTCTTAACTTCCCATGAGATGAGGTTGTTGCATATGAATAAGCAGTAACCTGTAGTGGAGAGTCGTTCAAGTGAGTCATCCGCCCAAATGGCATCGAAATATGTGTGAATGGTGAGGGAACCAGGTGTTATTGGCAGGCCAAAGTCGAGGGTGCCTTTGATGTAGCGAAGGAGTTTCTTAAGTTGGTGGAAGTGGAGGCCTAGAGGCTGTTGGAGGAGTTGAGATAAGATGTTAATAGAATAAGCAATGTCGGGCAGTGTGATTTTTAGATATTAGAGAGATCCAATGAGTTGTCGGTAAAGGAATGGGTTGGGTTAGGGTTGATTGAGTTCGGTGGGACGGCGTTTGGAGGAGGATATGGGGTTTGGTGTAGATTTGCAATCAGCTAGGCCTGTTTTGGTGAGAATCTCCAACGCATAGAGTTTTTAATGAAGGAACATCAAATTTGTGAAACATGAAATTAACCCAAGTATATCATGTAGCGTCATCCACAAAGATAACATAGAAATAGAAGCCTTAATTAGAAATAGTTGGCGATGGTCCCCATACATCGGTATGAATAAGTTCTAGTGATTTGTAGGTATGCTTTTTTGGAGGGGGAGAAAGGTAGTCTATGTTGCTTAGTTGTAGTGCATGAGTTGCAAAAAGAAGTAAATTTTGAAATACATACATGTGGTTGCGGTTTGGAAGTGGTAGAAAGGAATTCTTTGTGGGGATAACCGAGTCGATGATGCCAAAGGTCGGCGGAGGTGGATCTTGAGAGCATGGCTTGCTTTGGGATAGGAATAGGGTAGAGTCTGTCATGGCACGAGCCTTGAAGGATTGTTTGTCGTGAGGTTTGATTTTGAATTTCGTAGTCGGAGGCATCAAAGAGAATTAAAAACTTGTTATCAGTGGCGATTTGGGATATGCATACAAGGTTATGTGTAATTTGAGGAGTCAGATTGGCTTGTGTGGAATCCAAGTTGGAGGAGATAACCGGTGAATGTATTAAACCACTGACATGGAGCTTGTTTGAGGCCGTAGATGGCTTTCCGAAGAAGACATACACGTTTCGGGTGGTGGGCGTCAAGTTACCTGGAGGTTGCTTCATGTAGATGGTCTCATGCAGGTCGCTATGAAGGAAAGCATTTGAGACGTCTAGTTGCATGACCTGCCACTAATGATGGACTACAATTGTTAGAAAGTCCTTGATGGTGGGACGTTTCGCAACTAGACTATAGGTTTCCGTGAAGTGAAGGCCATATTGTTGTTGGTAGCCGCTTGCGACGAATAGGGCTTTATATCGAGCAATGTTGCCATCATTGTTGCACTTGATCTTATATGTCCATTCGCACCTGAGAGTGGGTTCATCAACTAGTGGAGGAACAAGTGTCCATGTGACTTGTTTTTGTAGTGTTGTGATCTCTTCTTGCATATACCTAATGGGGGTGTTGCTTTGCTTCCTGAAATGTTAGTTATTCTAAATCATTTGTAACAAGATGTTGGAGATTGAAGATGGATTTGGGTTTGAGAGAACCAGTTTTGTAACTGGTAAGCATTCGGTGAAGTGGCGAATGGGATGATTGATCGGTGGTGGAGAGTTTGGGGGAGAGGATGTCGTGTTGGTAGGGATAGAAGTGTTCATTAAAGTTGACATGCCAAGAAATGTGAATTTTGTTGTTGGTGAGGTTGAGGCATTTATAGCCTTTGATGTTGTCTGGTAGCCAAGGAAGATGTGTTGTGTCGAGCGTTGTTCTAATTTGTTGCAGGTGTGTGGAGGAAACCAAGGGAAGCAAGTGCAGCCATAGGCTCGAAGATGATTGTAGGAGGGTGATCTAATGTGGAGAAGTTGATATGGGGCGTCAAGGTGAATATTGGCGGAGGGCATGCGGTTGATTAGGTACACTGCCGTGAGGATCATGTCGAGCCAATATTTAGGTGGTAGGTTGGATGTGACCATAAGTGCTCTGGCAGTTCTAGGATGTGGCAGTGCTTCCGTTCGACCAAGTCATTTTGCTCTTGTGTGTAGGGTGAGGAGAATTGATGGACAATGACGTAAGTTAGTAGGTAATTGTCAAATTGATGGTTCTGGTATTCACCGCCACCGTCAAACCGTATATATTTTATTTTTTCATTGAATTATTTCTCAGCTTTTTGTTTAAAATTTATGAAATGAGTGAGAACATCAGATACCATGTAAAGTGAGGAGGAAGAAAGCTAGAGAGCCTTCCAGTAGAGCTTTCACGGTGGAGCTGTAGGAAATAAAAACCAAAAAACTAGAGAAAGGGAAATGGTGAAACCGGAAGGTAAAGTGGAACTTGCAAATATTTCCTCCTTAACTTTGAGGTACAGATATTTATAATGCTAAAAGAAGTGTCTAGAAGATATATAAAATAATAAAAAAAGTAATGATGTGTTTGTAACGGGAAGGTGGTTGAGATATGTTGTTGTCCTTTTCCTAGGTGAGTGAAAATATGATGTTGTCCTTTGGCCAAGTGAGTGGAAAGCCATCCTTTATGAAAAAGCAAACTTACTGTTTGAAAATCAGAATAATGTGGGTTAAAGTAAAATTATTTTATTGACATGAGAGGGGGTATAAATAACGTTTATATGAATCCTAGAATTTGAAAGATAATAAAAAGAAAATAATATGAAAGGAAAAATATATCACCTAATAACTTCAATTAATCAATTCATATTAATTACTTGAAAATAAAAGAAAATAATATAAAATAATAAAGCCTAAAATAAGAAAGAAAATAACTCATAATTCAAATAAATAATAAAAAATAGGAAAGGAAATAATTTATTCTTCATACTTTCTCCCAGACATAAATTATTTCCTAATATAACTTCTAAAACTTCCCCTTAAGTTTATACATGGTTGAAGACAATGTTCAACTTGGATTTGGAAATAATATGATAGGAAAATCCTACAAAGTAGAACTTGAAGTCTTCATCCAATACATTGATAGTCATTAAATGCAGTTCCTGAAGCGTTTGTAGGTAGGCGGAAGACTCCTACAAGTAATGTTACAAGTAAATTTGCAGGGTAGTAGAAAACTGTAGTTGTCTTTGACTGCAGTTCCTGCAGTGTCTGTAGTAGGCGGAAAGCTCCTGCAGATGATGTTGCAGGGAAGTAGACAACCTGCAGAAAGAGTTACTTCTAGTTTATTGCGGTTAGCTTTGACTATAGTTTCTGCAGTGTCTGTAGATAGACGGAAAGCTTCTACACGTAATGTTGCAAGGGAGTTTACAGAGAAGCGGACAACTAGCAGGAAAAACTGCAGGGTATGGCCTGCAAAAAAAGAAAAAACTCTAGAGGTAGGCCTTGCTGCAGGAAAATCTCCAGAGAAAGACCAAATATAAAAAAAAACTCTGGAAGAAGGTCTGTTGCAGGAAAAGCTCTATAGAAGAGTTTGTTGCAAAAAAATGTTGGAGGAGGGTCTGATGCAGGAAAAAGTTCTAAAGGGTCTATTGTAGGAAAAGCTCCGGAGCAAGATCTGATGCAGGAAAAATTTCGTCTGATGTGATGCAGGAAAAATTTCGGAAGGTCTGATGCAGGAAAAATTTCGGAAGGTTTGATGCAGGATAAAATTTCGGAGGAGGGATTGCTGCAGGAAAATCTCTGGAGGGTCTACTGCATAAAAGATTTTCGGAGGATGGTCTAATGCAAGAAAAATTCAAGAAGAGGGTCTGATGCAGGGCAAAAGTCCAAAGGAGGGTCTACTGCAGAAAAAGTTTCGGAGTGTTGACAGAGAAGATTTTCAGGTGGCAAAAAGGTTTGTAAGTCTACAGAGATGAAGGCAATTTAACTGCCAACATCTCTCACGTGAATGTCGATACTAAAAAGAGTGAAAGAGTGGGAATGGAATTCAGTAGAACGAGTACATGCATCAGGGAGGAGCAAATTTTCCATCAGTAAATAACATCCAATAAAACACTTTCAATGCGTGAAATACAACTCCAAAAAATCAATGCTTACTACGAGGCCCGGCAGATGAACGTAAACCAAGGAAGCGAGAAACTTGCAGCCTAAAATGAGTCAACGCAACCGCAGCTTGGCTAGGTGTAGTAAAAACAAATCTCCTCCAGGATGTTTAGAATCCTTGGTCACAAGTTTCACCTTTTGGAAACCAAAACCAATTTGGTTGACACTTACACACATTCCAGAAAGAACATAGGCCACGGTCTCCCTTGTTGCTATTAGAATGCCACCTAACTTCAGTGCTCCATTCAACAAAGCCTGATCTTCTCTGACGCTATTATTGACTTCGATAATCTTGGATCAGCCATCAGTTCCCTGTTAGATGTTATCCAGTATCTTTCATAAATAGTTCAGATGTCACAGCAAGAGTGATCCCCAACTCCACACACATTCAGTACAACAGATCCACGTCGGTGGTAGTGTGGATGTCATAGAGGGGTAGCTGACTACGTACTAAAAAGATGAAAAGAGATATCACCTGTAGATGACCTTCTCCCTGAATGGTATCCTTCTATCTGCACTCTCCACCTCCAGCAAGTTCGTCAGGAACGGCCTCAACGGAAGCAGCAACATAAATACTCCCTCCATTTATTTCCACATATCAATCAAAGTATAGAATCCTTAAAAATTCAGAAAAAGGAAGGAAGTGAAGAAAAATCGTAGTGTAACAACGAAGAAAATTGGAAAAAAGTGACGACGAAATGGGCGAGCACTAGCTCACTCTTCTCATAAGCTTCAAAGCATCGTCACGGAAACAGCATGGATGCGAACTGGTCAAACAAAAAAGACGATGAGCTAATATCTCGGCGGAATGAAGATAGGACAACAAGCAGGATCCGAGAGAGAAAGTGTCCCTCCCTTCCTGCATGGAGAATGACAGGAAGGGAGTTTGGCGGCTCTGGAAGACAAGCCGCTAGGGTAGGGAATTTGGCTCTGATATTATGTTTGAAATTTAGAAAAATGTGAAATAAAGTGGATTTATTTTCATTGATATGAGGGGTATAAACAACCCTTACATGAATCCTAGAATAGAAAAGATAATAAAAAGAAAATAAAATTGAAGGAAAGATAAACCGCCTAATATCTTCAATTAATCAATTCATATTAATTATTTGAAGATAAAAAAGAAATAACATAATATAGGAAAACTTAAAATTAAAAAGGAAATAACTTCTAATCCAAGCAAATAAATATAAAATTGGAAAGGAAATAACTCATACTCTAAGGAAATAATTACTCCTCGTAGCTTCTCCCAGGAATAAATTATTTCCAAACAAACTTTTAATACTTACAAATCTAAGCCTTCCGAATAAATTCAAGCCTTCTAATGACCTCTAGTAAAAGAGTAACTTTCACTCAAGGGCAAGTTGAACATGAGTAAACTTAAACATATAAATGCACCTTCATATAATAAATTTAATTCTCCGTGAGTTAAGATGACCTTGTAAAGAAGTTGGGAAGCCTGCGATTGAACTATCATTTCTTAATATAAGGGAGGTTTAGGTGAATTTAAACAATCATCTTTATATGAATATACAAACATGATAACGTTCCACACTGACAATTGATAATTTGCATGATAATCCAACAAAATAACTTAACAAGGCTGCACAGTTCACACTCCTGTCTTTACATGCATGAGTGAATTGAGTCGATCTCACCAAACAATAATCAATTAAATTTTCCACAAAATAAAGAGAATCAAAACAGTGGTTATATTCATCACACATTCAAGACCTTAAGCAACATAATGGCATCTAAACAACGTGTTTGTTATTTGCTTAAGAAAATAAGAGAAGGAAATGAAAGAGAATAAAGAAGTATGATAATAACTAAAAAATGATATGGAATAACACTATCTCATAAAAAGCTGGAGAAAAGATAACTTACAAGGCTTTCAATTTGTTCATGTTTCCTAAATAAGAATGAATGGAACCTTGTATGGAACAATTCCTCAATATCCTGCACAACAATGCAGAGCATCCTCAAACCCTATAAATCAATTTACAAAACGGTTCAATGTTTTATGAAATAATTGAACATACAACGTTTTGAGGGACTTCATTCTACTCAATTGAGGAAAGGTTGACCAATTTCCACGAAGATCTGTAATTCTCCTGTTTTCAATAGAAATTAAGGATACATGTCTTCATTCTACAAATGTATTAACCATAACAGAAACGTTTGTACTCATTCACATACATATCAACTAGGTTTATCAAGTTTGCAATGCCAAAAGGAATGGGCCCTTCCAGAAAGGAACCTTGAATCTGCCTGCAATGAAGAATGAATATATATATGACTTTAAGTTTCTTCAGCTCATACGTAAATGAAATTTTCAATATGTGCAATAAACTACTTCAAAGTTTCAAAATCAAGTCTAAGACATGATGTAAGATTGTGTTTTTAAAATTTAATTTTCTAAAGTATTAAGCTATTGCATAATTAGCAGAATTAAAAGGGATGAAAGTGCACAACAGAAATAAAAATAATAAAAAATTTATCTAATCAAATGGAGAAACAAACGGATGTACCTCAGTGTGTGAATACTGTCAGTACAACTACAAAGTAAGACCTTCAATAGTGCAATAAACACAATGCACGCACCCCGCATATGTAAGACCTTGAACCCTTGACATTTTGGTTGAATGACAAACTCTTAACCACAAATACTAAAAACATGGTTATCTAAGAGTTATGTATTCTGAAATTCTTAGATAAGCAATGAGAACACATTGTGTGCTCACTGCTCACCAAAGAAAATTTGAAGCACATTGTACGTGGTTGTGTACTCTAGTACTTTGTAAATAACTATTGGGATACGTTGTCCTCAACTAATAATTTCTCAATCAAGTTAGGGAAAAATACACCCGCTGGAGCATCTATGTGGCAAAAGATCCATACAAGGCAGAGTCTCAAGTAGAAATTCATTCAACAATGCAAAATATCAGCCATATAAGGGCACAACGGCTGACTGTTGAACCCATTCATGGCATCATTTTGAGATACCGGAATGATTATTGCACCGAGGGCAAATTTAGGGGAACAAGGACACTTAGAATACAGTTGAGGAGAGTAGAACTTGATTTTCTAATCTCACACTACCGCCATCAGCAATACTAATAAGTGAATTCTAATGGTATCGCATGTATCTAAAATCTGGTAATGAAGGTATTGGTGTCCAATAACCAAGAGCCAATTGGAGTAAATAAGTTGTGAGCTGGAAGCAAAGTAGTTATTGGAAACCTTTCATGATGGTCGGCAATATGCTTCATATCTTGTCGGGCTTGTCGAGAACTTGGACAAGTTTTTCAAACTTTATTTATGTATCCATTTTGTGCTATGAATTTTTCTACAGGATTTCAACTATAAATAGCAATGTGAAATTTCTATTTTTTTCTTTTTTTCTAGCAAAACGCATTTGAGCAGCATAGCTTTGCGTGCGTAATGGATGGGTAAGTTCTAACAATGTTGTTTTATTGTCATATCTGACGAGTTTAATTATACCAATGCCGATTGGCAAGACATCAGGTAAGCAAGTGCAAGAAAAACCATTTCATAAACGCGTATGAGGAATGAATAAACTCACAGTTTCTCCAGCTGAGTAAATTTGTCTATGAAATCAGGTATCTTTCCTGAGAAATTATTATTAGAAATCCTCCTGGCACAATTAATGTCAAATTTAATAGCGAACACCAAAAATACAAAATAAATGACAGCAATATTATGCATACAGGTCAATCAACTTCGTCAAATTGGCGAGAGTTGCTGGCAATTCTCCGGTGAAGTCGTTGGAGGATATTACACTGAATAAAAAATCGAGAAGTCACATTCATTTCTCAACTAAAAAAAAAATTAACAAAATCGGAGAAGCAAAAGCATTTGACGCATTAAAGACGGGCGATGTGAAAGGTGGAAAGCTTACAGTTTCTCCATGTTAGTGAGGATCCCAATTTCTTGAGGAATCGTTCCTGAGAAACGGTTTTCTTCTATGCTCCTGCATTACATTATCGTCATCTTTCGGATATCAGCATTTTACTAATAAAACGATTAAAATGAAAGAAAATTTTCCCCTTTTTTTTCCTACAGGTTTTTCAAGCTCGTTATCTGGGTCAGTACTCGTGGGAACGGCCCCGATAATCGATTCCCCGTTAATTCCCTGCAAAATTTTATCAATTTCGATCGTTAAAAACAGAGAAATATCACAAAACTGGTGTTTCCGCATTCTAAAATCGCATAAGAAAGTAAATAAAAAAAAACATAAATTTCACTCACAAGTCGAACAAGCGCATTTTGCTCCATGCCTTAGGGACGCTACCATTGAAGAGGTTTTTGCTCAAGTCACTACAAATAAAAAGCAGAGGCACTCACTTATTCGATGCGCTCGCGGTTATCTTATCTTTCATTTCAAAAATAATTCGGCATTTACGTAACCATGTTACCCAAATCTTTTTTCACCAAAACTTTATTCTTTACAATTATGTGATCTAAATCTTTTATAACACACCTAAAATATTATTATTTTAACTTTTAAAACGTGAAAAACACATTTTGCTTATTTTTTATATTTTTTTCGTTGAAAAAGGTGACAAATAAAAATTAAGTGGTATGTAAGTATTTTAACTTTTAAAACGTGAAAAACACATTTTGCATATTTTTTATATTTTTTTCGTTGAATAAGGTGACAAATAAAAATTAAGTGGTATGTATGTAAGACTTCGAATAATCACTTACAGCAGCTGAAGGTAGCGAAGCTCGCTGAACTCCATGGGCAGCTCGCCGGAAACATTCTGCGCCTTGATCGACCTGCACACGAATGATCCGTTCCACATCAATCGAACCCCAAAACGACTATTATCTCTTTGGGGAAAAGACACTATTAACTGTTTGCGGTATCCCAAAGAATCTCACAATCGTATAATGTGACAGGTGGAGTTGCCGTCGAAGTGGCAATCACATTCGATTCCGTTCGCGTTTTGTCCTTCCTCCATGTACCAATTCCCTTTCCCGCTGCACGGATCAACGCTGAAATCCCAATCATTCTTTCCGATCTTCCCCACGATCTTCTTAAGAACCCGTACTGCCCAAAAAGCAGAACCACCATTTCCTCAACAAAACCCTAAAGATCCATAAAGATCAAGAAGCGAAAAAAACAAAGCCTTAACTAGCTACCTTCGCTGTTGGAAAGGACAGGGCCTCCGTATGCATGGATAGAGAAGACGAAGCATAAGAGAATGAAGTACAAAGGTTTGAGAACTCCCATTACCGTCTTCGGTACAGCATGAAATCTAGTCTGCAAACATGATGAATCGGATTTGATGAGAAAGAAGAATAGGGAACTTCTTTGGGATGAAGCCGGAAAAACTTTTTCTACTAACTTCGGTCAGCTCACGCTTTGAGCTCCGAGCTGAGGGATTCGGAGAACTTTCCGAAAGAAGGAATGAAACTTGAAGAAGCTAGTCGTGGGAAGAAAGGTATATATACAGCCGACGGCATGCGAGAAATTGAGCTGACGGGATAAAACTTAAAATATCGTGAGATGGTGGCGGCGGCATAGAGTAAAGCTAAACGGCTTGCACAAAGGGAAAAAATATTAAAGCCACGAAAAAAAAATGACGGAGTAATATGGAGAATATTTTCCTCCTTGTTATTCATGTGTTATTGTATATTATTCATGTGTTATTATGTCCTAGGAATATTTTTGGTGTTATAATAATATAATAACACATGAATAACACATGAATAACACACAATAACACATGAATAACACGGGGAAAAATATTCCCCGTGTTACTGTGCCGTTTTTTTCTCTGTTGGGAATATTCCCCGTGTTATTCAAGTGTTATTGTGTGTTATTCATGTGTTATTGTATCTTAAGAATATTTTTGGTATTATAATAACACAATAACACATCAATAACACATCAATAACACATCAATAACACGCAATAACACATGAATAACACATCAATAATACGGCAGAGAATATTCCCCGTGTTACTGTGCCGTTTTTTTTTCTCTATCACGCTGGGTCTCGTGGCGTGATTTCATTATCTAAACACGTTACTTCTACGTGTGTAGTACTGATGTAATATTTTTTCCTCAAATGAGGGAAAATTTTGCGTAAGTAAGACATTTACGTCAGAAAGATTATTAAGAGAGTATTGAAGCTTTATATCTAAATTATACTCCTTATAACTTTTTTATAACCTATCTATAACCTACAAATATATAAAACACAGAACTTAATGAAATACGCGAACTTAAAGTGAGCCAAAAGGGCTCCTAATCGCATCAGCACATCACGATCCCGGCTCGACCCAATATTATAATTCCAGCGCGCCAACAGACTCAGCGTACAAATATCCCATTCACAATATCCAAACATAAAAAATTCGACGGCGGAGGAGATCGAATGGGGATGGAGCCAAAGAGATTGGGCCTGCCAACGACGAGATCCGGATCTCGCCGGCGGAAGATTCAGAAGACTTTCAATAACGTCAAGATCACCATCCTCTGTGGTCTCGTCACTATCCTTGTCCTACGCGGTACAATCGGCGTGGGTAACTTCGCCGGCGTTGGCGAAGGTGAGTCTGCCGAGAAGGTAGCCGAGGACATTGAGCGCATCCTCCGCGAGATTCGCTCTGATTCTGATCCCGATGAAGATGACATCCCTCAGTTCTCCGACTCTGTTGCCTCCACAGGCAACATTACAACTGCTGACAACGTGACGCTGTCCGGAGCGAACGCAGCAGCTTATGCGATAGGAAAGAGGTACACGCTCGGCCCTAAGA